TCCCCCATCCTTAATGAAGGCCTACCCCACTGTTCCTCCTTCTTGGGTTCCTCCCTCACAAATACACTTTTTCTACTCCTATCTCATCCAGGATTTTATCATTTTATCTTGTGCATTTGGCCCGTCCACTATGTTCAACTTTTATTATGTTATTTTGCACTACTTATTATATCTTGTTACTTTGTGTATTTAGTTGTGATGTAATTTTTTGTTGTTTTGAATTTTATTTTGCTGTATTGTATTTTCAGGCTTGGCCTCATGTGAGCTGCCCTGAGTCCCCTTTGGGGAGATAGCGGCAAGGTGTAAATAAAGATTATTATTACTATTATTATTATTATTATTATTCATCTTCATGGGGATCCTGTGTCTCTAAACTGAACAAATGTGAAAGGTTGACTGAAGGTATTCAGTTAACAAACAACCAGTTTATCAGAGCTTTCATATTCACTCAGTTTTGAAAATTGCAAGTATTATTTTAAAGGATGGTTATTTAGGGAAAACAAACATGATATAGCATCCTGTGGTTTGATTATGGTAGTTCTTGCTTGGAATTGGATGGTTGCTAATAGCAGAGCTATGGAAGTCTCAGGGTATTCTGCTAATGGAGTCTATGCATCAGAAGTTCAAGTTACAAAGTACTCCCATCCCCCAACCCCTGCCCCCCAAAAAAACCCCAAAATAATACATCCCAGCAGAATGACAATGGTGGGAGGCACCTTGAAAACTAGCTACAGTAGTCCAATTTTCTGTCACAGTTTTAAAATAAAATAATGAAAAGGTAAAAACTGAAATTAGGCGAAAGCCCACACAACACTCAAATGGAAATTATGCAATGTTTCACGCCAGATTTATAGCCTCATTGTTGCAATAATGCTATGTCTCAATGTGAGCTCTGTAATATGCAAGGCATGAAACATGTGCAGTGTCATATTGGTATTTCCTCATAAATTAGTTAATGAAACACTTTATGGATTAGGTTTTGTGATTTGGGAATGTACCTTTCTTACAAGATTCTTAGCCTCACAAGATTGGGTTTTTTTCTCCAAAGTATAGTAATAAGAATTGCTTACTTATACAAAGTAAGAGTAATAGTTCAGAAATCCTTATATATGTTACCTAATTAATTGCCAATATATACGAGGGGTATTTTTTAAGTAAGATCCGTTTTGTTGTAGACACTAGTAGTTTGCGCGCATACCGCAACGAGCGCGTGCGTCATGTACCGGCATGCCTCGGGAACAACTGTGCTCAGTTTCCGCTCTGTAGCTAACCTGTACGGTTCTGTTCTGTGCTTTAAAAATGTTTAAGACTATCAACTCACCCTCCGCATGTGAGGTTCGCTCAGTGATACAGTTTTTGTCAGCAAGGAACCTGCCTGTTGCAGAAATTCATCGACAGATTTGTGAAGTGTACGGTGATACTGTTATGAGTGAAAGCAAAGTGTGTAAGTGGATACGACAATTCAAAGATGGCCGTGACAACATCCATGATGAGGACCGCTCCGGTCGCCCTTCTTTGATTACAGACGATTTGATCTGATCACGCACTCAAATCTTTGGTTTTTGTGGTCCTCTGTTAGGAGTTTCGGGACCCAACAGGAGCACAGTTTCCTAAACTTTAGGTGTTCAGAAACAATGTTGTAAAGCACTGATCTCGACACGTCAGGAAATTCGTTTGAGAGACCTGTTATTGAGAAGCGCCTGTTCTCACGAATCCTTGCTTCAACTGAAGCCACCAAATCGTCTGTAATCAAAGAAGGGCGACCGGAGCGGTCCTCATCATGGACGTTATCACGGAAGTAGTAGCTAACAGTGAAAGGACCAAGGCAGTGGCATCTCCGGCCTACCCCCTATTCGGATATTAGCCAACGCCTTAAATCAAAAAATAGTTTTCTAAGATCTACAGAGATACTCGCAGGAACACCTCAGCAAGGGAGAGTTCAAAAGTGGCAGGCTCTAACCCAGAACCTCAATCAGTGGCTGTGACCGGATGAGAAACTCCCTCCAGGGCACACAGAAGACTGGGCGACTTGGAAGGCACTGAACAGACTGTAGTCTGGTACCACGAGATGCAGAGCCAGTCTTAAGAAATGGGGCTACAAAGTGGAGTTCATGACATGTCAGTGTGGAGAAGAGCAAATCACAGACAACCTATTGCAATGCAGTCTGAGCCTTGCCACTTGCACAGTGGAGGACCTTCTTGCGACAACAGTGTCCAGCTACTGATCAAAGGACTTTTAGTATAATGCCAAGTTTTAAAACTTCATTTGTGTTTCTAAATGCATTACAACTGTAACTTTGGTTCGCTTCTGACATGATAAAAAAATCCTGAATACCAAAATCCAAAATACTCCAATACTGTCTATATAGGTGGCTGAGAGAGTGACACCGTTGCTTTCTGGTGTCTCAATATATTATTATTATTATTATTATTATTATTATTATTATTATTCTGCCTTTCTTCCCATGGGGACACAAGGTGGCTAACATCTATCCACACTACACAGTTTAAAAAGAGCAAGACAAAGGTTAAAAAACCAATTAAATAACAACAGTGTGGTAAAAAAACAGAATTCAAATACAGCAAATACAGCAAATTATGTGGTGCTGGAGGAAAGTTCTGAGATCTAACCAGTCCATACTTCAAGAAATAAAGCCTGGCTGTTCATTGGAGGGAAGAATAGTAAAGGCCAAGATGAAGTACTTTGGCCACATCATGAGAAGACAGGAAAGCTTAGAGAAGACAATGATGCTGGGGAAAATGGAAGGAAAAGGGAAGAGGGGCCGACCAAGGGCCAGATGGATGGATGGCATCCTTGAAGCGACTGGATAGACCGTGAAGGAGCTAGGGGTGGTGCTCTAGCATGGACTGGTCCATGAAGTCACGAAGAGTCGGAAATGACTGAACGAATGAACAACAACAACAAATACAGCAAATTAAAATGGCCTTTAAACCCCATATCCGCCTAATACTACCCACCCTCATGCACAAAATTATTAAAATTACAGTGAAAGGTGTACATAATATGTACATTAAATCAGCCTTGTTGACATTTCTGGCCACATAATTAATTTTAAATATTGCAAATAATTTTTGTGTGGTTTTATAAATTGCTTTTATAAACAATTTTTATTATGTTAATATAATTTAATGGTTAGTTCAGGTTCTTAATTAATTTTAGATTGTATGTTTATAACTTGGTTTTAGATGTTGCGATTTGGTTGATTTGTTTATTGTATTTGTATCTACTATTTTTCAAGGCATTGAATGTTTGCCTGTTGTCTGTTGGAATTTGCTTTCAGTCCCCTTGGGCAGATAGGGTGAAATACAAATAAAGTTTTATTACTACTATTATTATTATTATTACATGATTCATAAATGAATTTCGAGTTTAGATTGGGGTCCCATCTTCAAAGTATCTCAAACGACAGGAAATCCATACATTTCGGATAAATAATGATCCACCTGTAAAGGCTTTGAGGCTTTTTATGGAAGAGGGTACGTGGATGTAGCGTACCTGGATTTCAGTAAGGCCTCCTTCGACAAGGTCCCCCATGACCTTCTGGCAAGGAAACTAGTCCAATGTGGGCTAGGCAAAACTACGGTGAGGTGGATCTGTAATTGGTTAAATGGACGAACCCAAAGGGTGCTCACCAATGCTTCCTCTTCATCTTGGAAAGAAGTGACGAGCGGAGTGCCGCAGGGTTCCGTCCTGGGCCCGGTCCTGTTCAACATCTTTATTAATGACTTAGATGAAGGGCTAGAAGGCATGATCATCAAGTTTGCAGATGACACCAAATTGGGAGGGATAGCCAATACTCCAGAGGACAGGAGCAGAATTCAAAACGATCTTGACAGATTAGAGAGATGGGCCAAAACTAACAAAATGTAGTTCAACAGGGACAAATGCAAGATACTCCACTTAGGCAGAAAAATGAAATGCAAAGATACAGAATGGGGGACAATGCCTGGCTCGAGAGCAGTACGTGTGAAAAAGATCTTGGAGTCCTCGTGGACAACAAGTTAAACATGAGCCAACAATGTGATGTGGCGGCAAAAAAGCCAATGGGATTTTGGCCTGCATCAATAGGAGCATAGTGTCTAGATCTAGGGAAGTAATGCTACCCCTCTATTCTGCTTTGGTTAGACCACACCTGGAATATTGTGTCCAATTCTGGGCACCACAATTCAAGAGTGATATTGACAAGCTGGAATGTGTCCAGAGGAGGGCGACTAAAATGATCAAGGGTCTGGAGAACAAGCCCTATGAGGAGCGGCTTAAGGAGCTGGGCATGTTTAGCCTGAAGAAGAGAAGGCTGAGAGGAGATATGATAGCCATGTATAAATATGTAAGAGGAAACCACAGGGAGGAGGGAGCAAGCAATATTCCTGCTTCTTGGCAGGGGGTTGGACTGGATGGCCCATGAGGTCTCTTCCAACTCTTTGATTCTATGATTCTAGGGGTTTACAAATGCGAACTTAGCGTAACTGAGGTCTGAGAATATCATTTAGGAAACGCACGTTGCGCCATTCCACACTGTGGGAGATTAATGCGAACTTTGCGTAGCAGGTCTGAGAATACCACTTAGGAAGCGCACCTTGCGCCATTCAACACTGTGGGAGATTAATGCGAACTTTGCGTAGCTGAGGTCTGAGAATACCACTTAGGACGCGCACCTTGCGCCATTCTACACTAAGTGGGAGATTAATGCGAACTTTGCGTAGCTGAAGTCTGAGAATACCACTTAGGACGCGCACCTTGCGCCATTCTACACTAAGTGGGAGAGTACTACGAATTTTGCGTAGCTGACGTCTGAGAATACCACTTAGGAAGCGCACCTTGCGCAATTCGGCGCTGAAGGGAAACAGCCGAGGCTCCGACGACGGCAATGTCTCCCTCAGACTGAGCGGCTGCCTCCCCGCACAGAAAACCTCATAATGGCGCCGCCTCCCCGTTTCCCCGCCGCCTCCCCCGCCCCTTTCCGGGACCAGGGCTTTACCTTCCCAAGTCACATCGTACATCTCCGAGACCTTCGCCATTTTGACCGGCTCCCCTTCCGCCGCTTTGGCGGCCAGGTCACGTGACTCCAAGAGACCCTCCTCCTCTCCCCGTCCATCATGTTTCGGTACCTTGACAGACAACCTGGTGTCGAATCTGATTGGTTGAGCAGGCGGAGGGCGGGGCGAAAGAGGCGGGACTTCTCGCTGGAGTGATTGGTCCTTATGGAGCTATTACTAATGGCTTTCGCTGCCATGGCAACGTCATGTGGACTGCTTGGGGAAGGCCTGTTCGCATTCTCAGCCAGAAAGGCCTTGGGCCTCACTAAACTACAAACTCCAACATTCTGTAGTGTTGTCATGGCAGTTAAAGTGGATTAATTGCGTTATAACTGTGTTCTGACACAGCTTTGTGCTAAAAATGCATTGTATGGATGTATATAGAGCTGGAATAGGCAAACTTGGGCACTCCAGGTGTTTTGGACTTCAACTCCCCCAATTCCTAACAGCCTGATATTGAAGGTGCCTCATAAAATGTCATCCCTCCGTATCCATGCATTCAAGTATCCACAGCTTGGATTTTAAAGAAGCCTATGATATACAAGTGCGAGACTGAGCATCCATGGATTTCAATATCCTGGAACCAAACCTTTGCAGATGCCAATATCAATTTCTAATATATATGTCTGTGACAGTATTAAACATGTTTGGGTATCAGCCAGCACGTCAACGACTTAAATCTAGACATAGTTTTCTAAGATCTCCAGAGACGCTCGCTGGAACACCTCAGCAAATGAAAGTCCAAAAGTGGCAGGCTCAAAACCAGAACCTCAACCAATGGCTGATACCAAAAGAGAGACTCCCCCCTGGGCACACAGAGGACTGGGCGACTTGGAAAGCGCTGAACAGACTGCGCTCTGGCACCACGAGATGCAGAGCCAACCTTCAGAAATGGGGCTACAAAGTGGAATCCTCGACATGCGAACGTGGAGAGGAGCAAACCACTGACCACCTGCTGCAATGCAACCTGAGCCCTGCCACATGCACAATGGAGGACCTTCTTGCAGCAACACCAGAAGCACTCCAAGTGGCCAGCTACTGGTCAAAGGACATTTAATCAACTACCAAACTCACAAATTTTGTATTTTGTCTGTTTGTTTGCTTTATTCTGTTAGAAATGTAATATAATTGACTGGCTGCCCTGACACGAAATAAATAAAAAGTATTAAACATGACAATAGCAGGGAAGTGTCACAAAAGGAAGCTGAGGTTTCAACCTCTGTGCATTTGACAACACATGCAAATATCTGGCAGCACAGAAAGTAGCCATTTGGAGACCCTAAATAAAATTATACTTTAAGATTGACTTCACAGGCTCGAGAGCAGTATGTGTGAAAAAGATCTTGGAGTCCTCATGGAGAACAAGTTAAACATGAGCCGACAATGTGATGTGGCGGCAAAAAAAGCTAATGAGATTTTGGCCTGCATCAATAGGAGCATAGTGTCTAGCTCTAGGGAAGTAATGCTCCCCCTCTATTCTGCTCTGGTTAGACCACACCTGGAATATTGTGACCAATTCTGGGCACCACAATTGAAGAAAGATGTTGAGGACGACTAAAATGATCAAGGGTCTGGAGAACAAGCCCTATGAGGAGCCGCTTAAAGAGCTGGGCATGTTTAGCCTGAAGAAGAGAAGGCTGAGAGGAGACATGATAGTCATGTATAAATATGTGAGAGGAAGTCATAGGGAGGAGGGAGCAAACTTGTTTTCTGCTACCCTGGAGACTAGGATGAGGAACAATGGCTTCAAACTACAAGAAAGGAGATTCCATCTGAACATTAGGAAGAACTTCCTGACTGTGAGAGCTGTTCAGCAGTGGAACTCTCTGCCCGGAGTGTGGTGGAGGCTCCTTCTTTGGAGGTTTTTAAACAGAGGCTAGATGGCCATCTGTCAGGGGTGCTTTGAATGCAATATTCCGCTTCTTGGCAGGGGGTTGGACTGGATGGCCCATGAGGTCTCTTCCAACTCTATGATTCTATAACTTCAGGAACCCTGATTGAGTTCTTGTTTTGAGTTCTTCATTCTTTGATATCAGTATACGTATTTAAGGTAACGGTTTTCCCCTGACATTAAGTCCAGTCGCGTCCGACTCTGGAGTGTGGTGCTCATCTCAGTTTCCAAGCCGAAGAGCTGGTGTCACGTGGCCAGCATGACTACGTGGAGCGCCGTTACGTATTTACTTAGGCTTTGAATAATTCCCTGTAGCTACTGTGAGCTGTCATAGGATGCATATATATATTTGGGATGCCCTTCATAATGTATTCTTGAACTTTTGGGGGGTAATTTTTCCCCAAAGAAAGATTTAACTGTAGGGGAAACAGCTCATCGGCACTCCAGAACTCTGCACGAAGTGAGGAGCCCCCTTGGGCTCATGCGGGCGGCAGAAATGAAAGTATGCCACAAGTTGAATTCCAACTGCAGAAGCTGTTTATTGCGGGCCAAAGCAATAGGTGACAGTAGGTGCCCACAGCACAAAAGGTCTGTTGGAACCTTAAAATGGGGTTGCAAGGCTTTTATCACTTTCACAGAAAGTCCAAAGCATATTCTCATTGGTGTACAAAGATCAATTATTTCATTGGTCTAAGCTGGCTAATACAGATTTTCATTGGCTCTCTATGATCTTAACAAGCAGGAAGGCCAACAGGTGGTGTTTTAACAATGGCACAAGTGTGCTTTCAGGTCTCTGACCTGGATAGATCTTATCTGCTTTTCCGTTTCAAGCACAAACTTGAAGCAGCTGGAAAATTAGGGAGTACTGCCTAGCCCACTTGTTCTCAACCTATGGGTCCCCATATGTTTTAACCTTCAACTCCCAGAAATCCTAACAGCTGGTAAACTGGCTGGGATTTCTGGGAGTTGTAGGCCAAAACACCTGAGGACCCACAGGTTGAGAACCACTCACCTAGCCAGTTCTACTCTGATGAATTCATCCTTGAGAGTAATTTCCTCTCTGTGGCAGTGTTTTGTAAACATCAGCATTTGAGCAGACAATGACCTGTGCAAATCAGGACATATGGGACTTACAATCATTGGAAGCATCTATGAAAATCCCATTTAAAATTACATATCCCCCAGTATTTTTGCTGGGTTAAAAAATTGGACAGCAGAGAAGTGTCTCAAAGTTACAAGAGAAACTTGAAGTGACGTCTATTGCTGCGCAGTGGTGACCATTTGAACACCTTGCATAAGGTTTTAAGGTGGAATCATGGTTATAACATTTACCTATTTTATTTCATCAGCATAGTTGCAACCCCATTTTTATATAGAAAATGGGGTGTGATACGATGAAAAAAAAATCTGCTTTTGATTCTCAGGTGTATGTTTTTTAAGAAAAAAATTAACTGCCTTACATTCGATACAGGAGGAGGATGAGAAAGAAACAATCAGCTTTGTTTCTCTTTGTTTTACATTGCTTTGCCTCTGAGGAAGAAGGTGGGAAGATTCTCCTTCCTTCCTTCTCCAAAGGCAAGGCAGTTTACAGAATCTGAAATGGAGCTCTGAAATGGAAGGAGAAAGGAACAAAGATCTGAGTTCCATTTCATATTTTTCAAACTGCCTTGCCTTCGGAGAAGGAAGGGAAGGGTGAATCAGCCCCAAACAGTTCTGCAACTTTTATGTGAGGAATCCTAAAATACCAATTATGGGACCCAAAAGTGGAGGGGGGGGGGCAACTATTAAACAGTGGTGACTATTATGTGACAAAATACTGTATGCACAAGTCAATGTATATGTAGGCTGGTTGGTTCATTGGTTTGTACCACAAAGGCTTATACATGGCTTGATGGATCTGGACCAAACTTGACACATATACCCTTCATTATCCAACTTAACATATTTAAACTCCTTTTAGGCACAAGGCAGAGGGAAAGTAAATTAAAAAAACAGATTGGCTGTGGCTAGGTGAAGTGGTCCTCTGTTACATGAGCGAGAAAGAAAGGGACTGAAGCAGATTGGCTATTACCAGGTGATGAATGAATGCCCTGGAACATGACTGCTTCATTAATTCAGATATATCTGTAGATACTTTGAAAATCTCTGTGTAATAAACCCTCAGATAAGAGATATAGGATGCCCATGGGATGAGCAGATTCAATGTAGTGAACACTTGATAAAATCAGGATACAAATAAAATAATAGTTGTAATAATTGTTACTAGAAAACATTTAGGGTTGCTTCATGCTCACTACACAATTATTTCCTTCCGCAAAAAAGGCCACAAAATTCTACATCATCATCATCATCATCATCATCATCATCATCATTGTTACTATGTTTATTTATATCCCACTTTTTCTCTACATAAGGAGACTCATTACACATTATGGCATTGTATAGCCATATCTTGGTTTATAGCGCTGGAATGCCATGATATAATTCCATCCTTTCTATTCTCATATGGCACCCTAAAACATAGAGCAGTTCTTTAAAATTGGCGCATTCTTCTAAGACTTGGGATTTATGAAAAAGATGTCTGGCAATTCTGTATTACCTCAACAATAGATGGTATTTTGGTTGTATACTAGCCCACAGTGCACCAGCTTGAAAGTTGGAGCTCTTCCAATAGAGGCTGCATTTGGCTTGAGTGTTACTCCTGGCACCTCACTCTTCCATGATAGAAAAAAGAACCAGATTGTGACTTCATTAATTAATCGCTTCCATATGAAATCTCTTTCCCCAGAGAACCAGGAAATTCATGACTTTAAAAGTTATAACTGCCAAGAGAGAGTGGAACTCCGTGGGTGGAAGGACAATACCATATTTCTGCACCATCCATCTTTTGCCAATAAATTAAATCTGGCATGGAGAGGAGAAAAGTAGAAAGATAGTGAAACAAGTTAGGTAAGTTAGTCTGACCCACAGATTTGTGTGTGATGTTTAATGTAATGTCTGCACATGCTGGCTTGGGGAGATAAGCATGATTAATGGCTTAATCTGGGGAATACATACAAATGCATTTTTCAAAGATGTTCTAGTAGAATCGTGATCTTTAAGTTGCCTGTGGGACATTTTGAACAGTCTCCAGGTGAATTTACTCTGCAGA